CAGCACTGGTGCGACCAGCAGGAGAAGGGAGGTGACAGTCCCCTGCGCTCTGCACTGGTGAGGCCACACCTGGAGGGTTGTGTCCAGGTTCGGGCACCTCAATCCAAGAGAGATCTCAAGGGGCTGGAGCGAGGGCAGAGGAGGGCAACGAGGCTGGGGAAAGGCCTGGAGAATAAATCCTGTGAGGAGCCAGGGAAGGAGCTGGGAGTGTTCAGTGTGAGGAGGAGGAGGCTGAGGGGAGCCCTCATCCCTCTCTGCAGCTCCTGACAGGACATTGCAGAGAGGCCGGGGCTGGGCTCTGCTCCCAGGGGATCAGGGACAGGACAAGAGGGAACGGCTGGAAACTGCCCCAGGGGAGAGTCAGGCTGGGCAGGAGGAGAAAATGTTTCCCAGACAGAGTGGTCAGAGAGTGGAACAGGCTGCCCAGGGAGGGGGGAGTCCCCATCCCTGGGGGGGTTTAAGGGCCATTGGGATGAGCTGTGGGGGGATGTGGGGTAGGGGAGAAATTTGTAGAGTGGGGCTGAGGTTTGGACTCGATGATCCCAAGGGGATTTTCCAACCTGAGTGACTCTGTGATTCTGTGATAAGCCTGTTATTGCATCGCGTCATCGCTCTGGCTGATAGATCTTACACTAACGGCAGCACTTTAATAGAAACGATGATCTTTGTTAGGGTCAGGGCTGATTTCAGCACCTGGTGCCCAGCAGCACCCTGCAGATGGACACCTTTGCCCTGCAGACTGTGAGCAGGCACCATGCCAGAGGCACCAGCTCCACTTGTAGCAGAGACTTCACGTCATTGTCCCGCTGAGTTCGAGGTCACCCACTCCACCGACGGAGCCAACTCCGCCTCATCCCTCCTGTCTTAAAAGACTGCCATGAGAGATGGAAGACAAAGTTATGGACTAAATGATCTCACTATACATTTTGGAGGGATGGCCCGTAGATGAAGGGAATGAGATCTGTGGGGATATATTTGAGACCAGGGAATGGGATGGAGATTGTTAGAATGTCTTGGAAACCTGAGCATAATGTAGATGGTATATAAATGGTGTAATATAAGGGGTGGGCCCTGTCCTGGCTTCAGCTGGGAGGAGATAATTTGTTCTTAGTAGCTGGAATAGCACTATGGTTTGGATTCAGGAGGGGATTTGCTATAAGGACAACGCTGATAACACAGGGATTGTTGTAAGAGATCAAGGTCTCTCCAGTTCCCGACATCCTGTCCATGCACAGGTGTTCAGGAAGCTGGGAGGGGGCACAGCCAGAGCACCCAGTTAGCCAGTGGCGTATCCTGTATCCCATAATGTTGTGCTCAGGGTGTCAAGGAGGGGCGACTGGGAAGCAGGAGGTTCTCTGTTGCATCTGGGACTGCGATTGTGGGGTCTCGTTTTTTAGAGATGGCTGTATGGGAAGGGGCTGGGTATCAGCGGGCAGGTGGGGAGCAGTCACAGGGTGCATCACACCTTTATACTTTCTATCACTGTTATTGTATTATTACAATTACAAAACTGCTTTTATCTCAAGTCATGACTCTCCCTTTCTCCCTCCAATTGGTCCCCCATTCCCGGCAGGGGGAAGGGTGAGCGACTGCCTGCGTGGGGTTTGGCTGCCGGGCGAGTTCGGAGCACGACAAGGGGCTGAGCAAGCGCAGAGCCCCAGGTTTGCTCTTGGGCCGAACAGGCTGCCCAGGGCTGGTGAAAACATTCCTTCCTAGAGCTTCTGTGTGGCCTGAGCTGATGGTGTGTTGGATGGGTCTGGGACAGCAGCAACCAGGATGGGCAACAGGTCCTGGAACTGGGCAGCAGGAATGCCCTGCGGCTACTGGCGCAAGACCGCCTACAGCAATCTCCATGTCACAGCTCCGGCTATGACACCGGTCGGAGCTTGTAAAGAAAAGTAGCTTTGCCCCTAGTGTGAACCTTCCCCGGGGAGACTGAGCCGGCTTGCGGGGTCGGCGAGGCCCGAAGCACACGGCCATGGCGCTGGGCAGCCGGCCAAGGCCAGCCGGCAAGGAGGGAGGGCTGGGCAAGGGGCTGCCAGGCCCCGGGGGAAGAAACCCTCTGGGCCCGGCCCCTAACGCTGCCCCTGGAGAAAGGGAGAGGAGGAGGAAGCCAAGAAATGAGCGTGGAATCTCCCAGGGCAGAGATCGACAGACAACTTTATTGTGCCATTGGAGGGGGATCAGGACCAGCATGTGGGGACGGCACACGGCTGGTCTCGTGTCTGCGTCCGGGCCGGCTGTAAGGATTCTGGGCCCGACGTTCCAGGCGGGAGCTGTCCCTCCTCCGCACGGGCCCACGGCGGCTGGAGCTGCTGCCCTCGAGCGCTGGAGAGGGGCAGGACTCCGCTGGCAGCTGGCTGGCGGGGCTGGGGCTGCTGCTCTGCGGCACTGGGGAGCCCTGGGATGAGCCCGGTCCTGACGGGCTCCCCGTGCCAGAGCCAGCGAGCTCCGAGCAGTCACTGGAGGCTGTAAGGGGAAGCAGGAAGGTCAGGGGCACAGAGGCCACTGTGGAGAGGCCAGAGCGGTGCCCCCAGCCCTCCTGGGGCAGAGAGGCTCTGCCAAGCCCAGCCTGGGCCCCCGCTGCCAGGCCTTGCCTGGGCCCTGGCCCCAGCCCAGGGGCATGGAGGTGCTTTGCCTCTTACCGGTGCCCTGGCCAGCACACGGGCCACACTCCCAGGTGCTCCTGCTGGTGCTCAAGTTGGCGCAGCGCCGGTGGGTGCCCTCGGCAGCGCAGGAGCTGCACAGCAGCAGTTCCCAGGGCCTGCGGAATAAAAGGGTTCATGGCTGTGAGGACAAAGTGACCGCAGCACGGGATTGTGCCACACAGCTCGTGTTCTCAGTCCTTCTGCTGCGAGCTCTTGGTGAGACAGGTCCCGTGCAGAGGCCAGGGTGCCGCTTTGGCAACTTACCCCTGTTCCTCTGCCTGCTCCCTGCCCCCGGGACAAAGGCACTGGCGGGTGTTGCAGCAGCTGTGCCTCTCCATTCGTGCTTCACCCAGAGGCCTGTTGTCCCAAGATGGCAATCTGACGGAGAAAGGGAAAAGGCTGAGCCCCTGCTGCCCTGGCATGAGGCTGATGCAGGGCAGCCCTGCTCCTCCCCCCTGCCTGGTTTCCAGCTCCTCCGTGAAGCTGAAGCCCAGGCAGACGGGACAGCGGAGGGGCAGGACTGCAGGGGCAGCCCCGGGCATGGCACAGGGCTCGCAGCCTCCTGTGCTGTGAGCCGGCAGGACACCAACCTCACAGGGATGCGGATGCCCATGGTGAGCATGCCGTGGAGAAAGTTGTACTTGTCTCTGCACAGGGGGCATTTGAAGGAAATAGAACCAGCATACTGAGCCTGGCCCTGCAGCGGAAAAAAAAGGAGCAAGAGTGAGACCCTGGTGCTGCACAGCACCTGCCGAGTCCTGGGGGTGAGGGAATGGCTCCTACCTGGATGCAGCCCCGGTGGAACCAGGCCTCTCTGCAGACGGGGCACACCAAGGTGTGGAAGGACTTTCCGTCCTCCACAGGCTCCAGGCAGATGAGGCAGTTGGTCTTCTCTGGAGCCGCCCCCACCTCCTGCTCCGGGCGGTGCTCCCTGCAGAAGGACCTGGGGGGCAGAGGGAAGGGATGGGTGAGGTGAGAAGCGCTGGGTCCTTCCCCGGTGGGGGCGAGGAGGGGACAGGAGGTACCTGTGCGGAAGGAAGTACTGTGTGACGCATTCCCCCGCGATGGCACAGGGCAGGTGGAAGCTGCGGTCGCAGCCCTCCCAGCAGCAGGTGATGGCGGCCCCGCTCTCCCCGCAGATGAAGCATTGCTGGAAAGAGCAGAGCAGCCCCCGTCAGCAGCAGCCTCAGAGCATCCCCAGCCAGCCCCACGCCTCCGGGCAGGGCGCAGGATGTGGCCGCTGCTGGGCCACAGCCCACAGATCCGCCCGGCGCACGAGGCTCCTGGGCTGGAGCCTTCTGGGGAGCTGCTTGGAGGGGCTGGGATTTCTTTCCTGGGCTCTGGGCTAAGCTCCCCCAAACCTCTCCTGACACAAATCTCCCTGACCTTGTCGACTACCCGCTCGACTATGCAGGCAATGTCCTCGGGGATAAATCTCCGCTGCCCTGATTCCTCATCCTGCCAGTAACGCAGCTTGCTGGCAAAAATCTGCAGGAGAGAGGAGGAGCTGATGAGCAGAGTGTGGCTGGGAGTGCCTGTTGGCGATCTGGAGGGAGCCTCAGGGCACTCACCAGGCAAAAGAGATGGGCGCACAGCTCTTCCTGCTCGACTTTCTGACCCCAGAGAACCAGGTCCGCCGCTGCCTGGCCACACAGCATGCACGCTGGAGGGAGAGAGCAAATGCCGGCGGGAATGAGCACCTCTGCGGGCCGGGAGAAGCGTCCCTGAGGGATCGTCCCCAGGGCCCTGCTCCGTCCCTGAGGGGTGAGGGGCAGGGCTGGGGGCCGTGGCGAGGAAGGGGCATCGCAGGCACCGACTCCCCCTGCCACCGCGCTCGGCCCCACGCCGACCGCCCCGACAGCGCCTCTGCTGTGCTGCGGGAGGGAAACTTTGCTCTCACCCTGCTCCATCAAGTCGAGGGCCTCCTCTCGCCTCTTGGCCGTAGACATGTCCACAGCGAGCGTTGGGAGCGTCCCTGTCCCAGCAGCACCGGGGTGTCTCTCCCAGATGCTCCTCGGCTGACTCTGAGGGAGAAGCGGGGCGCGGGTCAGCTCTCAGCACAGCCCCAGCGCCACGAGGTGTGGGACCCCCCTTCCTCCCTCGGCAAGGAGCCCCTTCCCTGCCCTGCCCTCTCCTCACCTCCCAGGTCGCACTGACCACGGCCGGAGCCCAGCGACCCTTGTCAGAGGCTTGTTGCCGTGGGTTACAGCGGCCGCTGTGACATCACAGCCCCATATATGGGAAGGGACACCCTGGGCAGGTTACCATGGCCACGGTGACATCGCTACCCCCACGGACGGGCAGGGACGCCCTCAGCCTCCTGCCCCCCCCCTCTGAGGTTGGTGCCACCCACGTCACGGTGGAAGTCCCGGGGGAAAGGCCCTTTTCTGTGGCAATAAACTGCCTTTTGGGGTCAGCGTGAGCCCGGCCTTGGGGCGGGGGGAAAGCCCCCGAACAAGCACTCGCACCAGACCCAGCTGGGGACTTGCCGCCCGTGTCACCCCCAAGGGTCCTGGGGTCCCCTTCACGGTGGCAGCAATGGTGCCCGAGTCCCCCACACTGTCCCCGCAGCCCCACACTGTCCCCATGGACCCCATGTCCCCCCATGGTCCCCACACCCCCTGATGGTGCCTGTGCCCTGCCGTGTCCCCATGCCCCACAGGTGATGACATTCAGCCCCAGCCTGGTGCCCACGAATCCTGGGTGGTTACTGCAGCCACGGACGTTTCTGTCAGTCCCTGGTCTCCCCAGGTGCTCTCTCTGTCCCCAGTGAATCTTCTCCTCTAAGATTTTCCTTGTCTTTCATCTTGAGCCTGGAGTACACAGGAGAGCAAGACAGACAGAGGACAGAACTAGTCTGAGGGGTAGGATAGGAGAGGAGACAACTCCCCCCAGCAGGCAATGGCAAACTGCCTTCCTGGGGATGAAGCAGCCCAGCAGAGAGGGGTATTCTTCCATCCCCTGGAGGCTGCACAGCACAGTGACTGCGTGGGAACATCAGCCATGTCTCACAGGTGGCTGATTAGTATCTTTCCTTGCAGAGTTTTTTTCCTTTTGAACCGTCCATTAATTCTTCCTTCCAGAAAAAAAAAAAAAAAAAAAAAAAAAAAAAAAAGGGAAAAAATAGTATTGCGCAGGAAATTTTGTTTCTGGATAAATAGAAGGGTTTTACAGCACATGTTAGCAGAGTTGAGAATTCAGAAACAATTATTTCATTACTTTTCCTGATACAACTGGGCACATTAATACATATTAGCACAAAGTCTGTGTACAAATATGTAATTTAATACGCTTTATAAACCAGTTGTATCTCAGATCACTAACTCTTCATTTGAATGGATAATAAATATAATTTTCAATTTTCTCAAAACGGTAAAAGCTCAGAGAAAACACAATTTTTTAATACAGATCTCAGTAGACTTTTGTATAAATTCATGGTTGTGTTTTCTGTGCAAGATTCACCCACAGTTAGTCTGATTGCTCTGTCAGTTTTTCTTCAGATAGATTCAGATTAGGAAATCTTTATCCAACAGGAAGAAAGATACAGAACTACATTTCAAAACTGCTGTGCTCATACTGCAACCTGTCACTGGCCAACATCTCTCTCTCAGCCACATTAATGTTGGTTAATAAATACTAACTGGCTCCTTCCGGGAAACGAGTACCCAACACTTACTGGAAGAACGCACACTTCTAGTTTGGGAAGCAATTTTAGAAAGAGTTTAGTAGGATTCCTCTATTACTACTTAAAAAGCATATGCTCTTTTTTTGCTTCTTTTGAGTTAAACATAGCTCCCCTACGTCGTCTTTTGCTGTTGCAGTCAGATAATGAAACGGTAAGTGATGCTTTAGAAACCTGTATAAAACTTCAGTGCTGCATTAAACGGACAATGTCAAGTCCTAAATAAATATGAGTTACAATTAGTTTCAGAGAAGAGCAAGCTATGCCTACAGCCTGCTGATAATTTACATTTTCATAAGCACCTTTTTCAGTGCTTCTTTCCCTGATAGTGTTGTGTAAAAGGCCCAGATGAAAAAAGAGCAAGACGGATGGCACGTGTAGGAATGCAGAGAACTGTCAGCACTAGATCAGGCACCTCTCCCCATCCCTGCCAGGGGACAAGGGACTTCTGAAACCTCTTACCTCTGAGAAAATGAGGCCACCTCCACCAGCTGAAGTTTGACTCCTTTTTCCTGACGCGACCAACTCAGCACACACAGTCGTGCCTTTGAAAAGAATTAGAAAAAAAAATTGCTGCATTTATAACAAGTTTAAGCACATCTTGCCACAAAAACCCAAACTGAAGTCAGGTTTTTGCTAAGTTCACACAGTGTTCCTTTGAAAATAGTGAAGTAAAATTTTGAAGTGCAAGTTACAAGGACAGAGGCTGCAAGCTCTTACTCTACAGTGTAGCAGGTATCACATTTAGTCTCACTCTTAACAGAGGTGATGATGTCTTTTGTAGCTATTAAAAGCCTTGAACGAAGCATTCAAGCAGCACACAGAACTAACATGGCAATTAAAAGCCACAAGAGAGCACCTATTTTATACCCCATGGTTACAAATCTCCACCTATTTAAAGGCCTCGTTCTCCTCTCACACCTGCACGGACAAACTGAATTACTCTGGTAGGAACCTGGTTAGGCCAACACAGGAGAACCCAGACAGGCCTTGGGTCTCCTCACACGAGCCATCCAAGATTTAGGTATCTAGCCAGCTGCGTTCCCCACCACATCCCAGGCCATCTAATTTTTACGGGATGATCTGGTGTCTTGGTTTTCACCTACGGGCCAGCCTCAGCTGGCTTACGGCAGGCAGCTCAATGAATTACTGCTTGCTTCTCTAATTTCTTGGGATTGCCTTAAAAAAGTGAATCGGGCATTAGGGCAAGAGCTATAACGGGATCTTGTTACACCAGAGCAATGCTAACTCCAAAACCTATCAGTGATTTCAGTGTAAGCAGTGCTGGGAAAGTGTGTCTTAATCACTCTCTGAATTTGGGACATCTCTACTTTTTCTCCCTGAAACTGCCCAGCTCTGCGAGTACAGAAGCTGCAGGGCAAGAGGGTTATATTGTAACAGGCAAAGACAACGGACTACTTCTTGCACAGGCTCAGTGCAGAGGTTTATGTCTTCTGAGACAAAAGCTTTACTAAAAGAGTGATCTGAATTAATGATTTTTTCAGAAGGAACACAAGGCAGAGAGATGCCATTGGGATGGGGCAACCTCAAAGTCAGATACAGAAAGTGAGTTTCTCCTGAACATTTCACCTCTTTGCTGCTCTTCATCTTTCCATGGCTTCCAAGATGTGTGAAACTAATTTAATCAACTTTAAACAATGTCCTTATTAAACAGAACATACGAAGAGGAAGAATTTAAGCCGCGCATGGTGTGAGTACAGGCATTTGCCCTGTTCCTGTCTAACGCCTTTTGGTTTTGAGAATATTTGACACATGAAGTATAATCAGCAACTTGGCTCTCCAGTTTGCCTTCTTGACTTGCTTCTGGTGCCTCACCCTAAGGGTTATGCATCAGTCAATGTATTTCATATCCTCTGAAAAAAAGGCAACCAGCCACAAAGCCGTCTAAATGCTGCAAAATTATCAGGAGAGCCTCACTGTTCAAAGACAAACTCATCAATTACTTTATAATGAGAACAAAGCTAACAAAGAATCAAGAAGGTATTTTTAGCACTAACCAAGCCCAACATATTCCAACATGCTTCAGTACCTACACAGCCATATTTTATCGGGTATGTTCAGTTTCCTGAACAGAGACTCAAAAATCACTCCCCTTGCTTTTTTTACCCTTTCATCAGGGTCTGCTGATGCTATAGTAGGAATGTAAGTCGACTAAAAAGGAATGTCCTGGGCTTCCTGGTCTCCTCCCACACCTCTCCTTCCCAGCACTGACTGCAGATCCCTCCTCTCCCAAATCCTTCTGTACACGAGGGGTGAGTTGCATTTGCCACTAACCATTCACAAGGGACAGCTGGCATGTGATCTGGGTATCTCTAAATAAAACTTGTGAGGACACAGCAGTGAGGAGACGGGCCAGCTCCATGTGAGGCGAGTTCTTCCGCTCTGGTTTTTCACCCAGAGGAGAGCAACCCTGTAACAAACTGATTTTATTCGTCTCTGAAGTCGGGGCAGCATCCCCGTACCAGCCTCACGAATTAGAGAAAGAATGGATTAGTATTTAAGTAGCAGGTAAAACCACAACTCTGCCTAAGAAAAGGCACTTTCCAGTGGCTTAGCCTTGCTTGCTGAGCTGATCTGCCAGGCTGCACCATCTGCCAGAGCAGGCAATGGGACTTCTAACAATGAGATCCAGTCATGCAGTGAAGAGATTAACTTACATCAGTTACAATACCTCTTGAACAGCTCATTAAATCAGCCAGGTTGTGCCATCCAGCACACCTGATGGTCTTAATCTAATCTCTCACCCTGGCCCGGGGGTCATCAGTGGGCAGCTGTGACTGTAAGTGATGGAAAAGACATTTTCCCAGGAGAGTGTCTGTTTCCTGGAACTCAGGCATCACTGATAATTTTCCCTGTGTTGCCCATTCCAATCTTTCCTTTCCAATCTTCTTATCCCCTAGAGGGGCTATGCAGCTTTTTAGTCACTTGAAATCAAGGTATGAAATCAGCAATATTCTGATTACAGGCAAGTTATGGAGGTAACACCTGTGGGTTTATAACGACACCACGTTAGCAGCGTATCGATCTATGATCTGCTATTGTCTCTGCACAGGTAGGAGCCAATTCATCTAAGAGCTCACATTTTCTTTCCTTCTTCCTGCAAAGCCTTGGAGTGTGTTACACTTGGAAGACGTAAGGACCTTCAGGAATGCCAAAGCAATTGTACGTGCTTTTCAGAAATTATAGATGTCTTTAAACATGAGTCTTTTCAAAGAAAATTGACCCAGCAGGTACTCATCTCTCAGCTAACAGAAAGCACATGACATCCACCACATTTTAAGGTTCCCGTTTGGCTAGCTGGGTCATTTCTGCTCAGAAGCACCCTGGAGCATGAGTCACACCCTGACCGGCAAAGGACCGGTCACTTTACTCACTGAGATGAGGAGTCTTTCCAGGCAGAGCACGCCACATGTGCATCTCCCCTCTCTGTTCTTAGCACTCAACCAAGGGTGCCCACAGGGACCCAACCTGCAGGACAGATTAGAGGGGCTTCTTTTTTTTTTTTTTTTTTTTTTTTTTTTTTTT